TCAGAAACACCACACACCAAGACTATCGGCTGCCCATTCCATGAGCTCCTAGCCCAGGAGAGCTGTGCAGCATACCAGGAAAAGATCAAAACTCAAACTTCAAAGTATCTTTTCCACTGAATGTGTGCTGCTCGCAGACCATCATGAAGTCAAAAAACCCTAAATCAAACCATTTTAAGGGACCACCTATACTTACAGGTTAACACCTTTTTTCTTTTCAAAATTAAAGGATAGTCTTTTGTATTCCATGTAGTGTTGTGGTGATATGCCTATGAAATTAACGTGTGCACACACGTGTATATTTTGACTTTTCTCCTCTGCCAATTCCTCTAACTCTATGAATATCTCCACTTGTGGATTGGATATAATTCTTATTACTGTCTTGAGCTCACCAGTCAGAATAGCATGTGCTTTTGAACTTGTGAAGCGTGATAAACGTATACTATGCTAGCAGAGGCAAGGACAACGCTAGACAAGAAAAGTCATCCGAAGTTATTTTGGGCATAACATCTCAAAGGCCTTGTTTATCTTGCTCTGGATGTGTGATAAAAACTGCACGTTTATCGTGTGTTTCCAAATCATTTTCATTTACAAGATTTAAGTGACCTAGCCTCTGAATTTTGCCTAATGAATCTAGAACAATGGCTTCAATAAATCCCACAAACCTAATGAGACTTACTGTTATGGTCCGTTTCATAACTTTCACATTTTATGATCAGTGGTAGGTCAAGACATTAAAATATATTTTTGGTCCAATTAGGATGCTTATCTTTTTAATGGCTTTGTTTCATGTTCTTTGCTTTCACAGCCTAGATTCATGTGGTCTAAAAACTTCTTTTGCTACCTTTCAAATTCAGTTGCAGTTTTAGGTATCAGCACATTTTAAGATCTCCAAAAAAATGAACATAAAATATATCTGAAGATAATATCATATAAAATGCCATGATATGTACATGCTCCCCTCCCCTGTCACTGCCCGCTGGGTTCTGTGGTCTCTTGTAGCCACAGGAATGGCAATTAGCACCATCTTCATGTTACTGAGCATTTTAAAGAAAGATTGCTTTATCACATGTAATATTACCATGTATGACATAAAATAAAAGTTCACAATGATTTTATATACAGCTAGAAATCCTTTCTATCACAAATCTTACTCTTTCCAGATGTCTCTGCCTCTGGAAATTGCTGTGAAATTTGCAATCAAGTGGTTGTCTTTGACAACTTCTCTTTTAGCCATTTTTTTTTATAGTCTCACTGTGTACCTGAGACTGGCCTCAAACTCAGGGTCCTCCTCCCTCAACCTCCTGAGTGCTGGGATCACAGGTACGCATCACCATGCCTGGCTCAGCCAGATTTTAAGCCAGTTCTTTTTATTTGTGCATCTTCCTAGACGTCATTGTTGGTGTTTAGGCAAACACTTTGCACAACTGTCTGTACAGTTCTGCCCTCAGCTCTGTGGCCCAGCCACAGGAGGCATCATGGCAGTCCTCTCAGACGCCCCTCTCCAGAGTGTGGCATGAAGTCATTAAAGAGAGTTCTCACTCATTCTTTAAAGAGTGGTTCTGCACCATGCATGGCCCCAACTCACCGGCTTTGTTTCATATTTACCACCAAACCCATCCTGCCTATTGCGTGTCCTGTCATGCTTAGTTGACATTTAATTAATATAGTGACTCAATACAAATAGTCTAGGCTTTTTCTTTGTCAAATATTGTTCTGTCTACTACTTCCCATCCCTTAAAAGTCAAAAAGGTACTTCTCTCAACACCCATGTTGCTGACTTTTGCACAGCCTCACCTTCTTTCTCATCTCCCTGCCTCAGTCAGTAGCATGCATGGTTGCTCAGGCTGCAAAAGTATCATTGCCTCTTGCTATGGAGCATGGGACCATCCTGGGCCCCATGCTTGCTGTGACAAAACTTCCACCTCTACCCCACTCTTCAGGCCCAGCTTCTCTCTGCCCTGGCACCGCCAGACCTTCCCTGCCATGTGTGTCTGTTTGCGACAGGGGCCATGTGCTCAAGTTGACTGGAATTACTGTGAGCGCTGCAGAGAGACTTCTAGTCTGTTATGGAGAACACAGGGACTCTGCCCAGGTCAACCTCTCTCTCTCTCTCTCTGTCCCTCATCTTCAGGATGAACAGAGTGACAGGTCAAATGATATTGTTTAAAATATGTTCCCACCAGTTCCAAGTCCTTGTTGTCTCAGTGACTCTGGAGAAAGTAGGAAAGGATGGTGTTCTTGCTACATTTCTAACACCCTGAGCTCCACGTATCTGCTGTCCCAGTGTCACCATATTGTACACGGACTGAAGGGACTGTTTGGACTTTATTTTATTCAGAAAATGCAGTATAATTCCTGTGGTGATGGACATAAGTGAGCATTATTTTTTTCAGGAGATGGATTGAATTTGGGAATAGAATTTAAAGAAGGAGAAAATGGAAATGATTTAATGCTGCCTATAAACCCAACATACAACAAAAATATACTAAATAACTTATTAACTAGATTTGATGTTGATTAATTATTTGTCATGTATATTTTTTAATTTCTAAACAGTCCTCTTCCATTTGAGCATTTTTGTGTCATCAGTATTCTTTTTTTCTGTTCTGACTGGTGAACACTTGAAGTATCACCTTGATGTGATTTCACCATAAGTTAGCTTTTTAGCACTCCAAATTGTGGTTAGAAATTTTGGATCCAGAATATTTTAATTATATTTTCCCAGAGTGAAATAAAAACCAAATGACATAGAGTAGGTGACATTACTAATCTGAAGTAGGAAAAACTATGGAATTCAGATGAAGTTGCATCCACGATCTAAGTTAAGAAAGGAGATGCTGGTGCTACACTAACGTGACAAGTTAAGGGCCTGTGGTTGTATTTCTTCATATTTAGCAGTTTTATCTTCTATGAAAAGCCCCGAATGGCTTGAAAATCCCTGCTAGGAGTAAAACAAACTACAGCTTGATGCAAATGGTGTCTTATACTTTGAAAAATACGGCCATTTAGGGAAAAATCTATTTTAACCTAGAAAACTTTATGACACAGCTCCTAGCTACTCACCCCAGACAGAATCACCCACCGAGCTCCATGGCTGGAAATCACTCAGCCACCTCATGACCTGGGATGGCCTGGGGGGTGTCAACTTGCACTTCAGACCCAAGGAGTTGAGACATTTATTTGCCATCAGGTCACCAAAGCGGAGGACACTGGACTCATGGACCTGTGCAACTGCACAGCCCGTGGCTTCCTTTTGCCCGTTGCTCAATTGCAGATGCACAGATTGCGAGGCTCAGAGAGCTCTGCCCCTTACCGCGGCTGCCTAGAGAAGCCGAGGGGCACCCCTTTGCCCGTTGTCTCATACACACTCTCTGAGACTGTCCCCTCTGGACTTGGGGATCACACCCAGTGCCTTCCTGAGTCAGCACCATGTGGAAGCACACACGAGGCTGGTGCCTGTCTACAAGTTCTTCGTCGCTGTCTTGAGCTCCTGTAGCTATTTTTTCACTTTTAAAAAACTTGGCATGCGTTAATAGTGCAAGGAGGTTTCATTGTGGTAATTCCCTCGGTGTGTGCGGTGTGCTTTGAGCAAGCTCACTGTAGTGACACCCAAAATGATGATGGAGTGTGCCTGGCCCAGTGAGGCCGGCCCGCGGGAGAGACGGGCGATGTGTGTGCCCAGGAGCGCTGGGGTCACAGGGATGACCTGTCCCCACATCGCCTACTGGGCTTCATGTCTGAATCCACTCAAGTCCTGAAAGAAACCAAGCTCCCCCCGCCACAGCTGCCCTCCTCAGAGCCTGACTGTGAGCTGTTCCGACACAGCCATGGCTCCTGTGCGGCACAGCCAAGGTTGCAGAGGAAGGGTGAGTGACCTCTTCAAGAGGAGCCCTTCTCCAGTCTCCCCAAGACACACTGGAAGAATGAAGGCGTGGGCCGCCGTCAGTAAGGCTTTGGCACCGTCACAAATGCACCCATAATAAAGTGGGCACACCACCATCACTCACGCTGCACATCAGATCCTCACAACCTGTCCGTGTTACGAAAGTTTGTAGCCTTTGACCAAAAAAATTGAACTTTTGTTCTTTTTATGCCTTTACCTGAACTGGGGTTTGAACTCAGAGTCCGCCTTGTCCCCAGCCCTTTTCCCTTTAGCTGTTGGTTAGATAGTGTCTTGTGTGTTTGCCCAAGCCAGCCTCCAACCATGACCCTCCTCCCTCTGCCCCTCTGCACCTGGCCGAATTGAGATTCTGTTAAGCACCATACTTGCAAATTTTTCTTCTCATGCTAAGAGCTTTGAAAGGGAGTCGTAGGAGCTAAAATAATCCTTAGGGCTAATTTATCCAGCAACGTGCTCGAAAGCCAGTGTTATACAGTGCGTTTCTTTCTAATCTGTGGGTTCCTTAAATGAAAGGTACTCGGGTTTGGGAACCCACAGATTATAGCTTTCGAGTCATGCACTTGGTCCTTTTTTACCTAAGAACAGATCTTCCTGAGGTTTTCATGTTGTTGTTAAAAGAGAGAGACGAAGAGAAAAGTGAACCTAAAAAACTCAGTTCTCATATTGTATTTTCCTGCATGGACAGAACTCCCAGATTTAAGTTTCTTCGTGAAGTCTGCTAAGTATGCATGAAAAACAAAAGCAGGACGTTGATATCCTGGTGTTCTGCATAGAATAGGAAACAGAGCTTCTTAAGGACATGGTTTTTTAAAGTATCGCTATATTGGAATTAAGGTGCCTTACACTGAATAAACGTGCAAATGATAACTTTTATAACGTAAAGGAAAACCTTGAGTACTTGCGCGATATAAATGAAGTGAAGTAATATTTAAGAATTAGCTCCTAACTCTGAGTAAAGTCACGAAAAGCCTTTTGGGTAGGATGGTGATAGAAAGCACTAAACTCTGTGGGAATATGTGCAGGAGAAAGGCTGTGCGTGTGGCAGGAATCCCGTTGGCCTTGTCTGACTGTTCTGCTTGTCCTTGTGCCTCTCTAGCGGTGGGTCTTGCTGCATGCCAGGAGCCCGCCCTGCCCAGCAACTGCATCAAACTGGGAGACCGGTACATGGTGAATGACGTGCTTTCCTTCCAGTGCGAGCCGGGGTACACCTTGCAGGTATTTTTTCCCTCAAGTTCTTTGTGACAAAGAAGGTTCCAGGTGGTAAACCTCCCGCAGCCCTCCTGCAGATCCAGCCCTAGGACTGTACCCAGGGAGTCTGTTTGGCTTGCTTTACTTGGCTTGCAAATCCAACAAATTAAACCACACATCTTGGAAATCAGTCATCACTGGATCACCGAAGGTTATCCACTAAGTGATGAAGCTGAGCATTTCATTTTCCCAACTTCTGTATTTCAAAGTGCATGTTCTTCCAGTAACTCTGCAGAGAAATTCTAAAGAGCACAGTAGTGTTGTGGTGCCTTTAAAACTCTGTCCTGGCACCAGTCACTGGATCTTCTTCTGGACTTGGGCTGTCCCGTTCTCAACCTGTTCCCATCATTCCATTCAATTGATCACCATGTGGTGTCCACGTCATACCCAACAAAAAGTCACTCAATAAACCTAAATGTCTTTCAAGAAAAACCAAGTACAGGTTTTGCTATAAACTTGTTAGAGTTTTGCTTTTCCTATCTGGTTTTATTTCTTTTGGTGGTACTGAGGTTTGAACCCAGGCCTCACCCTTGCTAGGCAGGTGCTTTACCACTTGAGCCACTCCTCCAGCACAACTTTTTACAGTTTTTGTGTGAAAATTATCTAAAAAGTTTTATGAACATTTCACAAACTAACATACACAAGATTAAACATTTTTCTGTTACCCTTAGGTAAGCTTATTTCCCAAATAGTGTCTGTCCCTTTGCACACTTCTTACATCACTCTCTCCACCAACAATAAAAACCGATCAACTAAGCCTGTTTATTGCAGAGTCCAGGAGACGTGTCTAGACCTACTGATGCTCCCGGAGTCCAGCTAACTCCCGTTGTAGGGGCTTTTTGCTGTATTTTTATTTTAACATTGCAGCTGATACCTTTCTAAGGGCATTGCTTTTAACTGTGCTCTGAAATAGACTTCAGTAAAGCATCCCCAGTAGCATCAGGAAAGGATTGCAATAGCACAGCAATAAAATGATGCCACTGTGTACAGTGTGTGGGATAAGAATCTCAGACTGTGGAAGTAGCAGCAGCTGACAAATGCCAAATGCTGGATGACTGTGGGACCAAGAACGTCCCCCTGACAAGATCTCATGTTAGCCCCAGTCGACCGTGAGACGCGGGTGCCACAGATGTGTGGTCTGTGCTTAGAGGAAGAGCGTGGAATGCCTGCCCACTTCAGTAAATGGAAACTATTATTATTGTTGTCAAAACTGCAGAGTTCCCTTCATGAAAGCAAGCTGCACTCACAGCCTGTGGGATTTGCAGGGGCCTGAGCTGCCACTCTGACTGCAAGCAGGTGGACTGTGGAAGTCAAGTTTCCATAGACTATTGTGTCACAGGGAGTCCTTTGCTCAGGTTCTCTGACAGAAACCCTTTCCTAACCAGGCACGCCCAGGCTATTTAGGATGATTCTTTGACAAAAGGCTTTCTGCCGTGCCATGTTACAATGGAAAGAGTTCTGTGTCCTGTCACATAGGTTTCGTGTAGAGGTGCCCAGTCTACACCAATGAGTCGTTCTTATGTCTTATTTGACTTGCATTTAGCTTACTGATCCCATGGGCCTCTGTCTTCCCATCCTCCTCCAAGTTCCCACACTGCCGTGCTTGCTCTTGCTCAGGGAGCTTCATGTTTCTGCTTGCTGAAGAAGTGACTTTGCAGTTTCCATTAGCATCCTTTTCTACGTGATATTTCAAGAATCAAACTCCCCTGTATTGCAAGGGTTTCCTGAGGTGTATTGGTTGCTGTGCTGCTTAGGCACACAGGGCTAGGGACACACAATCGGGCTATTTATTAGCTCTGTTTCAAATGCAAACTGAGCTGTTTCCTTCATTGTAAACAGTGCAAGCCGAAGTGTGGACCCTGGAGTTTATCATTCACATAAGACAAAATGGGTTATGGATTTAAAGAAAATTGCTGACATCCTTTTATTTATTTATTTTTATTTATTTATTTTTCTGACATGCTTTTATTAACAGAGTAACAACATACAAGGATACCATGCTAGTCATCAAAGTATTGTGCTTACACAGGTCTCACACAGACACCATGCAGTGTAGACCCAGTGAGGTTCATGGTTGGTAAAGGTGCCTTGACTTCACATGTTGAAAGGAAACCCTGAATATCTGGATGGTTTATGGTTGCCATCCTATATAGACTTGCTTTAGTGTTCTTCAAAAACACAAAAACCTATCTGGGCACAGTGGCTCAAGCCTGTGAATCCTTGCCATGTGGGAGGCAGAGATTGGGAGGATCATGGTTCAAGGCCAGCCCAAACAAATAGTTCATAAGACCCCATCTCAACAAATGGCTGGGTACAGTGGTATGTACCTGTCATCCCAGCTACATGGGGAAGCACAAATAGGACTGTAGTCTAGGCCAGCCCAGGCATAAAGCAGGACCCTGTCTCAAAAGCAACTAACATGTCTTCATGCACCTGCAGTGGTTCACCTGCCTAGCAAGCAAGAGGCCATGGGTTTAAAAAAAAAAAAAAAAGAAAGAAAGAAAATTTCTTTTTGGCTAAAAACTAAGAAATAAATACACCAGACTCTGTCTTGGTTATGATCCATTACAAAAATTTCATTTGGAATCACTCATTTGAAAGATTATACCAACATCAACAGCAGAATATGGCTTCTATGGGTAACAGATGGCTGTTTATTGATAGTCATCAATAAACATACTCAAAGGCTTTGCACTTTGTCCATATTTCAAGAAGAAATTTATTAAAGACAACTTAATTGTGCACAGAATAAACACAGAACATGAACTTTCACAGCGAAAATATTGTTCAGAACATCTTAAGAACAAGCATTGTCCTCCTTTACTGGAGCTACTTATTAAAATATCAGGAAATGTGAGGAAATTAGTTCTGTGGCAGAGGAACTGAGCAGGAAGGGTTTATGGCTTAGGGAACTGACTGACTTGCCCCTGGTAACTGCGTTTGTGCAAATTCTGGTCTGATGAATTCCCAGTGTGGTTGAGATGATTTACAATGAATTAAAGACTTTTTTATTTGTCTTGATGCTACTTACAGGGGGAAATGGAAATTCATGAGAGAGGTAAAGAAGCAGATGGGGCACTGAGTCACAATAAGGGAAAACCAAAATAGGCCGCAGACAGAGGTCACATCTGTCACCTTCTTTTTAACCACAAGAGAGATTTCAGTAAGGGACATATTCACATTTAACCCTTGCCACTTGGTCTTTAAAAAAGGACTGAATTTTTGAAGGTGGAAAGTAGAGAGCTTGATCTGTTAGAGGTGAGCAATCCTTGGTGATGGGGACTGAGTTCAGAATGGACGTTTAAGATGACAGCTGTCAAGGCTGTCCAGAACTAAAATGAGTGTGTGCTGAGACTTTGTCCCTGTGATAACAGAAGAACTGACCCATCTCTTGGTTGAACCTCAGGAACGGTATGAATCTCAAAGATACTCAATCATGAAAGTCACCTTTCCCTAAGCAGACAGGACATCACTGGCATGTCACCTATGTATGTAACTAACGCCTAGCATTTCCCAGTCATTCTCAACCTTCAGAATAAAAGCTGTAAATTCCAATGGTGAAATAAAAAGACATATTTTGCACAATTCAATAGCCTTCTTTAAGCTTTATGAAAATGCCCAATGAAATTGTTGTCTTTCTGGAGACGTTCCATATTTTAATTTTAGTGAAAGGAAATGCAGTGATAAAGGAATTCTCTATACTGATTCAAAATATGTGCTTCCTCAATAATCTGTAGTGCAAATAGATTTTAAATTTTGTGGTATTTTTACATGTGTGGTTAAAACAAAAGAGGCCAAAGAAGGTACCGATATTGTCACATTTCCTACTGAAGTCACCTGTTCATATTAACGTGAATTTAATTTCACTTTCTCTTAAACAGGGCCGTTCCCACATATCCTGTATGCCAGGAACTGTGCGTCGCTGGAACTACCCGTCTCCCCTGTGCACTGGTAAGTGTGCCTTGAGAAACTGGTCTCTGGGACGTGTGCTTGCGCCACTTGGGCTTCAGATAATGCACTTCTGTATTTCTTTCAAAACATTCATTACATGAGGACTGGGAGTGGTGGCCCATGTCTGTAATTCCAGCTACTTAGGAGGCTCAGGGAGGAGGATCAAAGGTTGGCTGGGCAGAAGTACAATTCTCAACTGAAAACCAAACTAAAAGCAAAAGGATGGGGGCACGGCTCAGGTGGTAGAGCTCTTGCCTTACAAGCCTGAGGTCCTGAGTTCAATCCCCAGTACCACACAAAAGAGAGAGGGAGAGAGAAACATTTACCCCATGACAATCACATACGGTGCAGTGGCAGTTGTAGGATGGGAGTTGGTCCTGCTTCTTCTGCGTGGGCTGCAGCAGTTCACCCTCTTCACGTCTCTGCGTTGGGGTGACACGGGAGCTGTGAGATTTCCAGCTCAAGGTGCCAAATTGGATCTGTGACTGCAGGCCGGCATATTGACTTATGGGGAGGAAGAATGTAGGGACTCTGAGAGTTCATAGAAATATACAGGCCTTTAACCCCAGGAAAGCAAGCTTGCAGGGGCAAAATTCAGAATTACAGATAATGATTGAAGCCAGAGTGTTGAAGCCGTATCAGCAACAGCCCAGTGCCCACCCTCAAGTCATGCTCATTGTTACGGGGACCACCCTGCCCTTACCCCTGTCCGTTGCAGGAATGCTTTCCAGACATGGTGTTTGAGAGGGAAAGAACCCATTCCTCAAGGCCCTGTGAGACCTTACAGCACAGGTCACACAATGGAGTCTTGTGACTTACAGTAATTGCATCAGCTTAGTAGGGCTTGCAGGCTCCACACGAGCTCCGTCTGCATGGCACCGTGAGCTGCAATGAGAACGCTGTGCAAATTCCCCTTCCACAGTCCCCACAACAGATCTACCACGTCTGGGCTCACCACTGTGTTTCAGCACACAACAGTCTACACTTCCAGCTCCACTGTGACAGACACTCTCTCGTGCCTTCTTCCTAGGCCTCAGGGTCACCTAACACTCAGCAGAGCCATGGGCCATGCTTAGAACCCCTGACCTCCAAATGATGTTCAAAACAACCCCATATTGGCAGGCCAGGTTTTGGGAGAATGCATCACTTGCACAGTGACCAATGCAGGCGAGCTTGAAGGCCACGGTGTATTATGAGCCTCTGGGCTGGTCACATTCTGTTTAGGATTCATTTTGCCAGGATAATGATAGCATAGTACATTGGCTCCCACAGGCAAGGCAAGGTAATTACTCTTCTGACGGCTTAATTGCCCCACCCCTCAAACAAATCTTAGAAATAAAATGGTTTTGAGTAATGCACAATTTAATTACCTTGCTTAGAATTGTGTACAGAGAATATAGCACCTTGGGCCTGTAGAGCTAACAGAACTTCCGACTTTATGGTGGCCTGTTCAGGCCACCCTCTCTCTCCCCTCGAAGTCACCCTTGCAGGCTTTTCTTCTTGAAATTCTTGAAATTGCAAGCAAGTGCATGTTGTCTAAGGCATCTCTGGAGATATGAACCACACCGTAAAAAGGATGTTTTCCATGTTTTTAAATTTATACAGATGTCTGAGCTCTACGAAGTGATGTCATCTTGGCCATCACCAAATTCACTGCGCTTGAGTTTTCATTTTAAATTTTCTCCCAATGAATAAGGTTTTCCTACCTTGATGATGAAAAACAATGTCCCACTGAAGGTTCTCTCTCGGGAAGAGGCTTCCGAAACCTGTTTTGTTTAATGAGAACGTTGTCAGAAGAAAGTCACTTCATGTGACCTCCTGAAAAGAAGCAGCGTCGTGTTCATTGTTAGTTTGAAATACATGAGTTGCCGTTTTAACAAGTCGCTCATGGGGATCCAGCCTTCCTGGCATGTTTGTTGTAAAAGCAGTCATGGTTCTTTACAGGTGAACCTCAGACATAAATAACAGCATGGCACGAGAGCAACCAAGATAGGGCGGACGCAGGGCTTCTCTTTAGGACATAGGAGTCCCGGGGAAGGAGTTGTAGCGAGCGGCGTCCTGAGGCTGGGAGAAATGTGCAAGCCATGGGTGCTGGTGATCCCGGGGGCTATGGCACCATGGGACCAGGCCAAGAGGAAATGGGGTAGATGGCTTCCACCAGTCATGGAATCCAGCCTCATTTCCTAATCTCTTCAAGCTTTGTTTCCTGGTCTGGAGGAAGGTGTCAGCCTCAACACCAGCCTTTCGGGGGCGCTGTGGGAGTGTAGTGGTGGGGCCCAGTGCAGAGCACACAGTTACCACTGGGTGGGAAGTGAGGACCATCACTTTCAACAGATCATAACTGATAAGCTGAAGCCAAATTGATGCTCAAACACACTCACCCTGGTTGCTGGCCTCTGAGTGCTGGCAGAAGTCAAGTTTATTCTAAGCAGACACAGTGAGGAGGGTGGGCTGAGCCCACGGGGAATTGAAGCCCACTGCATTGTGGGAAGTTCTTCGGGGCTCTCCTCTGCAGACTCGCTCTTCCCTAGCATGGCGAGTGGAGTCTGTGGCATGAGATTTTCTTGAGGAATGTGAGACCCTGGGAGACTCACGGCCTTTGTCTATTTAACAGCCACCTGTGGAGGGACACTGACCAGCCTGGGTGGAGTGATCTTGAGCCCCGGGTTTCCTGGCTCATACCCCAACAACTTGGACTGCACCTGGAAGATCTCACTGCCCATTGGCTACGGTGAGTATGGCATGTCTTGTTCCTACATGTGCCACCTTTCATTTCTCTCTGGCCAGGAATTATACTGAGTCAGGAATGGGCTGTATTCTGTTGACATAATGGTGCCTTTAATTGAAAGTAGATTACAGATTTAAATAAAGCTTTGGCAGAATAACTTTGAGGACAGAAAGTTATTTGAAAAATCAATTCAGCCATGCAACTCCTTTTAGGGCAAATTAAATTAGCTGAATTATGAGGTAATAGGCCCACAAACTGTAAAATGAGCCCCTCCTAATTCAATCGTCAGTCTCTTTATTTACAATCTGGCTTTTTCTAATCTATTTCTGCAATGCAATATTGGCTGTTGTTTCTTTTGGACAATATTTAAGATCTCCTTCAGATTGTAACACATTTTAAATTCAATATAACACAGAAATTCAAAAAGGTAGTATTGTCTTGTTAACTTTTTATCATATATTGCATTGATTATAGGTTTATGAAATTTAAAAAATATATTCAGCTATTACTTTCAGGTCCTAATTTCAGCAATTCATAATTTCAGTTGTTATGAGCACTAAGCTCTTACTCTGGCCTGTCTCTGTCTGCCTTGTGGGGTTTTGTTCATCCTTTGGGGTCTCCTCCACTTGCATCTTCTCTAGGGCTTGCACTGTAAATGCACCCAAGGTAGGTTCCCCATGTCGTTCACTTATGTGGTAAATATGTGTCACTTGAATGAGCAATGAATAGTTGCATAAGGAGAAACTGTTGCCCTAGAAGATGACATTATTTTCTCTTAAGTTCTCAAAGCGTTTGCCTGGAGAATCTGTGCCCCTGTTTGCATAGCCATAGAGGGAGCGCACAGAGGGCAGGTAGAGCTGACTTGGTCAACAGAGAGTAGCTGGAGGAATGCACAGTGGGCTCGAAGACTCCTGCTGGCCCTGGTGAGCCAATATGGTCTCTTGGACCAGGAAAGGGGCCTGGCAGAGTAGCCCTGTGGGGACAGCAGGTGGAGTCCAGACCACGGACTTTTTTATGAGCCACTGGAGGCCATGGGGCAAAGAAAGGGAGTGGATGGTTGGATGGATGCCACCATAGGCCAGAAGTCCCCTGATATGCAAGAATTTGGAACATTTTTGTCCCTGTTTGTGGTTCTTTCTAGGACTCAAGTCTGCTGTACTTTGCAGACTGAGAAAAACGTTACTACCTAGCTTTCAGCCACACATCAGAGTTACAAAGGAAACGTGAGCAAATGCTCTGCGCTTCTCACCCCTTAGCTCTCACTCTTCCTTCTCACAGGACTCGGCACAGCACCGCGAGGCTGCTCAGGTGCCATGCCTTGTTTCAGCCACCGGGGACCTGTCACCTGGGTCACCTGAGTGTCTCGATCAGTAACTTGCTCATAAATCTGTGTTTATCAATCAAACACTCCAATTTTTTCCTTAAAGGGAAGAAGTTGCAGGTGGCTGTGGGTCTTTTAATAATTATTCACCCCCCGCCCCGAGACCTCCCCATATTATTTCCTATTACTCTCCCAAACTTGCAAGGATTCCGGAGCATTCCCTGTAATTACAACTAACTGGACCCACAGGGAGAACAGGAAGGCAGGCAGGTGTTTCTGCTGTTGTCACACTGAGTTGCGTGTCTGGGTGGGAAGTCCTGCTGCTGGATGATGCCCTGAGAGCTGGAAACGAAAGGGAAAAAGATCCGTTTTCCTGTGTGCAGAGAGAAGCGTGTCTGTGACAGCAGGTCATTCACTGCAGTCAGCATGCTGGCACCACAACCAGCTCCTCCTCGTGAGTGTGGAAAACAGCAGTGACTGTCACCACCTTGTACCAACTCTCCTATCCCTGCATGTGTGTGGTGTCTGTACATGTGTATACATGTCTGTGCACGTGGGTTGTGTGTGCATGTTTGTGCATATGCATGTGTGCGTGGTGTATGTGTGCATGTGTGTACTTGTTAATGTGTGTGTGAGTGGTGTGTGGGTGCGGTGTCTGTACACGTGAGTATGTGTGTGCATGTGTGTGTGAGTGGTGTATGTGTGCATGCATTATGGTGTGCATGGTTGGTGTGTGTGCCTATGTCTGGTGTATGTGCATTTGCAGTGGCTGCACATGTGTGTGTGTGCGTGTATGGTGTGGGTGGGTATGTGTGTTGTATGTGCCTGTGTATGTATATTGCGTATGCATGTGTGTATGTGTGTGCGTGCGTGTGATGTAGTCTTCTCCCCCTCTCTCTTTCATTAAGTTTGGGAAGCAGGGTTCTTTTGTAGTATTCTGGGAAATCTTGTCCGGAGATGGACACTATGGAATCTTCTTAAGCACTAAGGTAAACATCACGTATATTGTGCATTTTATCTGCTTAAACTCAGGACACTGCAGGACAAGGAAAACGACTGTAGCTCAGTGGTTCTCGGAGCCCACTGGCCACAGCGGCTGCTCTGACCTCTGCCCTGGCCAGATGAGGCAAAGGCCTCTGCCTCTCGTGGTTCCTAGATGCTTGAACCAGCCCAATGCCAGCACCATCTCTCCACTGTAATCTAAAATGATCAGAAATGCACACAGGTTTTCATAAGATTCGTATGAATTCTCTTGATTTTGGTTGGTGGTTTAGGTGAGTAGAAATCTTAGCTCTGTCAATTCCTGGTGACATAAACTTGCAAAAGTTACCAGAATGTTCCTGGAGACTGCTTCCTTACCTCCATCTTCAAGGGCTGCTTTGAAGTCAAGTCCACGCCTGATCTGGAGAGAGCATCGTTTAAGTGTCAACTGCCTTTAATGCTAAGCCAGATTCCCCATTGCTTGTCTGCTGTTTTCTTTCCTTTTCACAGACTTAGGCTGGGAGGCTGAATCTGCAGAGAATTTCTGCCTCTTTTTTTTTTCTTTTAAGTGTCTAAAAGCACAGTTAATAGAAATGCTACCATGAACTTTTATCTTTGTAAACCATTGGGCCAGGGTTGCACAAAAATGTGGTCCCAAATTATCATGCCTTTGGACCATCTAGTACCATGGGGAAGATATAAAAGGCTTTTTTTAGAATGTTTGCAAAGCACACAAAAGACGCAAAGCAGAGCATAATATTCATAAGAATCGCCAACTGAAAACGAGGGTTCAACTCTGAAGTCACGGTCACATTACTATTCAAAGTTTTGTCAAAGCTTAAAGGCAAAGCTCCTCTGTGCAGGATGGTCTTTATGGTACTTGATTTCCAATACATCCCTACAACCAGATGAAAGTGTGCTGTGCAAATCTCACTGAGGATAGGCATTTAGATTAGCTTTCTTGCTGTAATCATATAGGTTTAAAATATTCCGAGAGATAACAAAAGGATAACTAGGTCATATTCATCCTAATCCCCTTTGGGCCCTAGGATGTCAAACTGGTCACCATTTGCTAAATAATTCCACTTTAAGCCAGATTAGAGATGGGCTGGGCTCTGTTTCCTCATAGATACTGGGGGATTGATATGTGGCTGGATACTTTATCCTGCTTAATATGGTAATTTCGCTCACAGTATTGTATTGTCCTAATCCCCCTTCCATTTCAAGTCTAATTCTGCATGAGTAGAAAGCCATTTCACTCCCTCCTGTACTTAAGAGGCATCCGCCATCTTCCATGCTTTACCCTTGATCTGCTTGTCTCTCATTTCTTTCTTGGCTGTGTCCTTCCATGAGTTTCAAACTGTGTCTAGAGAGAGGCGTCTAAAGTCTGCCTATGTGCTTGTGAACAAGCACAGATGATGCCATTCCCGTGTTGTTTGCTCTTCAATGCCCTAATCTTGCCCTGCTCTTCCATTCTATCTGGCAGCTGGGGACATAGATACATTTGCAGCAGACTGTCTGTCAGCTTCTTTGTACTCAGTAGTGCCACTGTGACAGGCATTGAGGGAATTCTGCAGACCACACAGGCTCGGGTTCACTAAAATTCACACGTGCACACACACATGGTTATAAAGTAAAAAAAAAAAAAAAAAACCCTCGTTTTCATTAGATTTAGGTCCTATCACAAAAGAAAACCTCATTTTGAGTCCAGTCATGGGTAAGGCAATGACTTGGGAGCTAGGTGCTCATCCAGTTCAACTGTCACAGCAGTGTGGTGCTGAATGGTGTTCAGAGTGACAGACAAGCAAGACCCCAGTCTTCTCCTCTACCTCACTTTTTCTTCCTTTCTTATATTTCCTTGCTTCTGAATTTCTTTTGACCAAAAATATTTGCTGGAATTTAAAAAAAAACTAACAGCTCATTGATGGCTGTGCAACGAAAGGGAATATATTTGCAGAAATGCCTTAAGGTTACGCAGTGATTTTGTCTTATTTGTGCACAACAGATGATGTCAGAATGGTCAAGTCTGGGATGCCCCTTACCTGACTGACACTGTGTGATGTCACTCCTCTACTCATTCCAGAAAGAATTCCCCATTTTGGTTGATTTGTTAAAGATGTTTCTTTCTCTTCTGTTTTTTGCCTCTTTGTTTCTGGAGTTTTCCTCATTACACATTGTTTTAGCCTTTGTCTTTCAATTTGAGTTGAACAATCCAGTGTTCTCTAAGAAGGAGGAGAACATTTCTAACTTCATAAGAGCTGGGTCTAGCTTATTTTCATGCTAAACCATAAAAATGGAGGACTTTGTTAATCAGATTTGTCAACCTTACTCTGTCCTTCTTTGTATTCCAATGGACATAACACCTACCATTGCTGAGCCTTCGTTTGTTCAGCTATACAATTGTGACAATAATTTGCTGGATGATTTTGAGGAAAAAGTTGGCAAATCAGATCCCAGACATGATAGCTGGCCTTACACTATGTCAGCCAGAGGGCATCGTTCATTCTTCGTTCCTTGTCATAAAGTCTCTTCCCCAATGAATGAAATCAGTTTCTTTGTAAAACTTCAAATTTTATTGGATATGTTTAGTTTTCCTTCCCCACAATTCTTTCCTTACTTTCTTTCTGTTTTACTGGTTCCAGGCTTTTGATAATCTCCTGTTCCTTTGACACTTGACATGACAGGCTTACTTGAAAAGTTCTCTTCATTTACACTTAAACAAGATAAGCATTATCTTCAGTTTTTCCAGTCTCGGACACAGAATATATCTGATAGAAAATGAAACTGTAGTTCAGGAGGAGCTGAGCTCCACGGCAGAACACTGACTTGACGCGTGGGAGGCCCAGGGTTCCATGTCCAGCCCCACAGGGGGAAGAGGATAAGTCACAACAAAAGCACAGCTTTTCTCACTTAGACATTAGTGTTCCCGGTTGTAGCATTATTACCTAGCTTATGTACATGGATTTATGGGAAGACTAATGTCTTTGGAGTTCCATATAAAGTTTTCAAACAAATTAAAATAGGTCAGGCACAGTTTTCAACTTTCCAAATGCCACAACACCACAGCAAATAACTCGAAACTGTCTTGATTTTGACCTTTTTCTAAATTATCAGCCATGGTTTACTCAGCTTAGAGATGATGTGACACAGGAGATGGTAGTCACTTGACCTACCTTTTGGATGTTGAGCTGAGCCAGGCTGTCAGCTTGAATTTTGACAGCCCAGTGAGGGCAGTGATTGGATTGGGTTTCTTAAAACATTAGAAATTTGCTTTGTGTGTATAATACAATTGAAAAGAGTCACTTGCTATAAACTACTGAGTCTCTTATGCAATGGTGTGACCATCCAACTAGCCTCAAGGCAACTCTTAGAGTTTGTTGCATTATTGTTTAACCCACATTGGCTTTTCCCTTGATAAAGCCATAAATAACTTGTGGATGGTATAACATGTAATTCCACCTTGCATTTATGGACTGACTTTGTCAGTCATTGTGAGAATTGTTCCTGTACTGGCACCTCTGCACTGGCAATAGTCACATTTCCCGTAACTTCATGTGTAGACAGACATTCTGTGGACGCAGATTGCACAGGCGGTTATGGCAGAGGTTAAATTGAACCAATGCCTGTCGTCATCCAACAAGCACTCTCCTCACTGTGCCGTTCTGTCTCATGGAGAAAAAAATGTCATACTCACTTCTGATAAGCACTGATTTTACAAATTTTGATGTGCAACTTCAACAGTCTCACATATTTTTCCCTAGGTGCACATATTCAGTTTCTGAATTTCTCTACCGAAGCTAACCACGACTACCTTGAGGTTCAGAATGGCCCTTACCACACCAGCCCCATGATCGGGCAGTTCAGTGGCACAGATCTGCCCTGGTCATTGCTGAGTACCACACACGAAACGCTCATTCGCTTCTACAGCGACCACTCGCAAAACCGGCAAGGATTCAAACTTACTTACCAAGGTAAGGAGCAACACTGAAAGAAAAAAAATCTAATTATTTTTATATTTAAATTGTATTTCAATGTATATCTCAAGTGGTTGAAAATGTATGCAACTGACCTAATTTTCAGTGCCTTGTTGGTCGCCGATTTATGGTGGCCCATGGATATGTGCACAGACAGGAAGAGCACGGCCAGGTGCAGGTGCACACCTCATATCTGCCCCACAGTCCCTGCCCGCTCCCTCTCTTCTGTGACCAGTGTCACATACCTCCCTGGTCACAGAGTCTTCTCATTGTCACTTGTCCTCATTAGCCCCAGTCCTTTCAGGACAAGGATCGCTGTGGCTCAGGGGTCAGTTCCTGCTGGTGGTGGAGCCAGTTGTGTCTCAGTTATTTCTAGTACACGATAATAGCTACATGAACTGTTCAAGTCATGTTCAAATTATGTTGGATAAAAAAGAAAATTCAGAGCCTGAATTTTGCCCCTTTTTCTATCATCCTAATGTAAAAATCTGCTTAAAAAAAGTTTGAATCAACTCTTATCAAAGCACTTTTGGCATGTGAAAATGTTCAACATTTTCATTTCATCCAAAATAATTTAGCTGGCCTCTTCTTGGGTGTTGTTAAATAGAATGAGGTTGAAAATGTCAAATCCGGAACCTACTGTTTTTTTCAACATGGCTGAATCATTTGCCTTCTCAGCATCAAGCTTTAATGTTCTACAACCCCAAGAAGTCAGCATTTTATGTTGAACTCTTCGACGGTCTTACTTAAGTCCCCATCCGAAGTTGAAATGCAGATATGGATTTCAGAATTGGGGTCTCTGAAAGCAGGAATCCAGGAAGGAGGGAAAAGGAGGGAAAGAGAGGGTGAGGAATTGACTGCAGACATTGATGGAATTTCTCTGCCAACACATGTCATGCCTTCCCAGCTTATTGTCCTCTCCCCCTCTGTGAACATCACCTCCTACATGAAAGGCACTCAATACACACGTATGCACATGTGCACACGTGTGTGTACAACACACACTTACACACATGCACACACAGAACCTCAGGGAGGAGACACTTCCCACAACAAAGGGGCTACAGATCCACCTGCAGGCACACTTGTTCCCTGCTCTTTCTTTCTCAGAGGAAGACGACGTTCCTCCCACTTAATGCCACAGCACTAGCGCTTTCTCAGCTCCTTCAGAGGTACCAGCTGGGAGCCCTGTCTTGCTGCATTTATTTATAGGGACCACCTCTCTATTAGGACTTCCCAGCAGAGTTTCAGCTGTGTCCAGATTCTCTCCTCTCTCTCTCTCTCTCTCTCTCTCTCACTCTCTCTCTCTCTCTCTCTTCTCTGTCTGTCTCTCTTCCCCTCCTCCTCTCTCCTTTATTTTATGGTACTGACATTTGAACTGAGGATCCACTGTTTGAGCCACTCACCAATCCTTTTTTTTTCTTTTTAAGATTATTTTTCTCAGGTATGGTCTCGTGCTGATTGCTGAGGCTGACATTGAACTTTGGTCCTCTTGTCTCCACCTCCCGAGTAGCTGGAATTACAGTCCTCTGTGTGGCTGTATCCATTGCCTTCCTTAGTTTCCACACTCTCTCATCACTTCCCTTTATTCTTCCTTGTCTTGGAGTCTAACACTCCAGTCTTGACATAACCTGATGTTCAGCTCACTAAACCCCAGTGCCTGCTTCCTGTCCCCAGGCAGACTCTGCACAGCTCAACCTCCTCTGTCCCATGGCCCTGTCTGTGGGTCCTGCATCCCCAGGGTCCTTACTATCTTGCTCTCTCACTGTCTGCTTCTTATTTTCTTTGTTTCTTTGTTCTCTTCTGACTGATGACATTGGTTACAGGGCTTAGTTGGAACCCTCCTATGCTCTGTCACCTGAACTCCTGGACTCTGTGACCATGTAGCGCGTAACCCTGTGTCCATGTCTCCAGCTTACTCTTCTGTGAACCCCAAAAGAAATTTCTCACTCACTCTTGCCAAATGTACTGGGACCACATAGGCACCTGAACCCGTGTCCAAAGCCGGGCTCACAGCCGTCCTTCCCCAGCCACCTCGCCCTCCATGGTCACTCACTGAGTCAATAGTGTGAACTCTTGCATCTGCCCTCTGTCTCTGACACCAGCAGGACTTGCAGAGCAGCCACTCTCAGCTCCGACTGCTAGAAAACTCAGTCCCTGAAAGCTCTCACCACGTTTATTCCTCCGCCTTCTTTCACCCTTCCCATAAGCAAGCATCATTTGTCACCTTCTTTCTGAAAGTCCCTGCAACATTTCCCAAGATTCTGGAAATACAGTTCAAACTCTGCACAGAGTCTAATCCCTAGGCTGCTCTCTCTGCCCCCGCCCCCCACGCTCTGCTCTCTCTGCCCTGCCCCCCATGCTCTGCTGCCCTACAGAAGGGTCCCCAGGAGCCAAGGTCCCTTCTACCTTGGGACCTTGTGTACCCAGTAACCTCAGCATAGACCATTCTCCATCTCCACCCCAGTCTTCTCAGCAGATCCACCCACGGTGTCCCAGAGGATGCCGCCCCCATCACCCTGACGAGGACAGCTTCCCAGAGGTTGCACTTCTCCGTTTGGTAGTCCTTAAGACTGCCACCAGGTCTTTCCCATCGTCCCTGCTTCTGGACTCAGGTGCTGATGGCCCTTAGTGACTTAGTCTGGTGGCCTGACTAGCTTTGCAGGTGAGATATGAGTATTTGCTGTGTAACACTTTCACCTTCAGGATGGAAACTTGAAGTGTTGGATTCAGTTTGCTCTCAGAGTTATGGGGTTAGACTTCAAAAGTGGAGAGCTGCCGTCCCATAGGAAGCACCGGATGTCACTGGGTTTTGCAGTGTTTTTGCTACTGTGGTTTGAACTAGCCTAAACTAACGGACACACCCTCGGGCTTCTTAAACTCAAGAGTTGATTGCCTGTGTAGATGGTTAACCATATTGTCCATGTGACAGTGGCAGCCATGTCTGCCTGGACTTCTGCTCTGTTCTCAGCATGAATCACACAACCAGCCTCCCACTGGTCCCCAGACGTGACCGTGAGCTGGGTGTGCTTCCTCCTGGGTGCTGAGGGACAGAGGACTCTGCCACACTTGCACCTGTGCCACGCGACCTTACCTTTATTAACTTGGTTCTGATGCCCTTGCTTCTTATTAAGTTAAGTCTATCTTAGTCACTCTCATTGCAGGTGGCGCAAGCTGAGCTGGCCAGCTGCCCCGTGCCAGTGCAGGTATCGGCATGCATACGATGCGTTCGTGATCCAGTCTTGGTGTCCGATCTTGGAGACATTTGGCTTTGTAATAGGCTTCTTTTTGGGTTTTTGCTTTAAGCTAAACAGGTATCGTGTGGGCAAGAATGGTGGTATTTTCTGTTTCTATTTAGGTAATGGAACCTAAATGGCCCTGGCCTGCTGCAGTGTTGTTGCCAGTGGTTGGGTTTCAGATGTTTCTCCATTCTTGGTACAATTTCTAAGATTCAGATGCTCCCCCAGGTGCCGTGAGAGAACCATCAAGAGCAGGAAAGTAGTAGAGTGATTTATTAGGACAGTGGAAGTATAGCTCAAGGGATGAGGTAGGCAATTCAGGTGAAGAGTGACTGCCTAGAAGCTGTAGGGACTTGGGGTTTTATCCACAGGGTGGGGTCACTAGGTGGTAAAAATCAGGGCCCTCCCATGTGGCCCTCTCCACATGGTTTGGTCACTGTGCATGGGCTGCCCAGATGTGGTTAGTCTCTTTGCCTTTCCCAGTTTAACCTTGATATGGGCAGTGGGCTCCATAATGATGGAGGAACAATATTTTAGTCACTGGCCCAGGGTTTTAGAATGGGTTATGGTACCCTGGAGTATTTCTTTGTTCCTACTCCTGTCTACCTCACTGCCCACCATAACCCTTAGAGTGTAGCTGTGATAAGAAATTATCAATGACCCCAGTACCACCCTTCTCTTCCTTTCATTCTGTCTCTCCCATTCCACCACAAATCACAAGATGGGAACTAGATCTTCAGGATTGGGCGGTTGTCTTCCATGACGCAGACATGTGCCCACCCCACCAGTGATAAGTACGTTTATGAAGGCCCAGAGTCCTGGTCCCTGCATTTCCTGGACAGATCTATCTATTCAAGAGGTCTAACACAAGGCAAGGGCACAGGTTCCGGGTCTTTTGCATGAGCTGCCTCCCTGTGACAGAATATGAAAGAAGCCTGACTCACACTAGTCTAAGCAGAAAGCACAGATGGCAGCTGGATCAGCCACATCTGTCCTGATGCAAATCCAATGGTGGCCTGAATGTAAACACCCTAGTCAGAGGACAGGACCCCTCCCATAGCACCGTTTCTGGTCACCTTGGGAGCACATGTGCAGAGAGGCTGGCTAGACCTGGGGCCCTCCCATGTCCAGCCACCAGGACCAGGTGGACAGGCTGCATTTTAGCTCCATGTGGGTCACACCAGTCTGCAGCAAACAACTTTAGTGGACTTCATTAAAGGGTATGTCTTGAGAGGGAAGGGAGGAGTCCTAAAAGACAGGTCTAAGAAAACAAGGTAAGGAAGGCACAGCCAATCTGTCACACACTTGGATTAAAGTGCACCTTCATTACTGCTTTAGTGCACAGGTCCTCTTACGCTCTTCCGTTAGTGTTATTAGATTGTTGGAAAGTTAAAAACACTTTTCTGCGTCACCCACTCAGTGCAACACTCACTCTACACTTCTTGATTCTTGCGTGTGTTCCAGAAAGTTCACATCTCACAGATGAGGAAACTGAGGCTTAGAGATGTGGAACAAGTCACTGAAATCTGTGTAGTTGAAATGCTGGCTGTGAGACACCAACATAGTTGTCACCAGCAAAGCCCCTGTGTTTCTAAAGAAGGAAGACAAGTGAGAAGCTCTCTGGTCCCAAGTCCAGGGCTATTGTCACTTTGCTATTACCCATGTTTTTGTTCCTCCTGGTTTGCAAAACCAGTCTACCTTCCAGGAGTTGCAGAATCTGACCATGGGGGAAACACAACCACTCTTAGCGTGCAAACG